ATTCCCCCAAAATAGCCATTAATAAAATCAGGGGGTGCGATGGGATTCAGGAATGCGGGAAGGGCGTGAAGGGAGAGCGGGCAGCAGGCGGGCAAAAGGCGGCTGCAGCCGCACGATGCCCCCCCCCCCCCCCCCCCCCCCCCCCCCCCCCCCCCGCCACAGCCTCCCATGGCCACGCATCCCCGTGACCTTCCAGCACAAGCGACAGGACAGGTTGAATTAGGTCTGGAAATGCTTTTTCCTATCCCTTCTGGAGAATACTTCCTCCCCCAAGCCAAGCCAAGCTTCTTCAGGGGATGAGAAAGTAATGAACTTTCCCACCTTATCTCCCCCACACAGACTTCCAGACACTTCTTTTGACGCGTTTAACCACTAGCCATTCCTGTCCATCTTCTTGCCCGGGGAGAAACACTGAGCCTTTCCAGCAGCCACGCAAGCAGCTGTACCTGCAAGGACCGAGCTAGAGAAGGTGGCAGGTACAGCGCCCGACGAAAACATGAACAAAATGTGATGAATGAGCAGCGGAATGGGAAAAGGTCTGCGAGCGAGACTGCGGTGCAGATTGCAACTTAGTGCCCGGAGCGGTGCCTGTACGGTAGGGCTCGGATGTGGGCAAGCAGGGTTGGTGCTTTGTAATTAATTTCTTCCGAGTTCAGAAAGTGGAGCCAGCCAGGCTACTGAAAGGTTCAGAAGGCAGGCGAGGCGATCGAGACGTTGCTTTTTCTTCTATTTTTTTTATTTATTTTTCTTTTTGTCCCAAGTGTCCTTTTTTTTTTTTTTGGTTGAAAACAAGCAATCTGAACGCGAAATAAAACCCACTTACCAGGTGAAATTGCAGGAAGCGAAGCGTCTGCGGGCAAAAATGCATCCCGACTCCGTCTGGCATATAGTCCATGATCTTCGGCTTTCAAGCCAGAGCAGGGTTTTTGCCTGGTGGTGGGACTTTGGAAACCATTGGCAGTTGTGTGTGGCGCAGCGGCAAGTCTACCAAACCATTTACACCGTGTGTGTGTGTGTGTGTGTGTGTAGGGGAG